GAGGTCTACTAACTAAATGCTAAACTGCAACAACTGCAGTCGAATGGCAATTGCTTGTCACATTTCACTGTTAAATTGAAAGGAGTCCATTTGTCTATTGAGAAAGGTCAGATTTGGTTCTTTTAACTAGATTTGCTTGACATTATTGCACAGTCGTTATTCGGCATTAGTGATGTCGCGAACCGTTCGCGAACTTGCCGCGAACGGTTCGCCACTTCGTGGTGAACTCCGGTCAGCTGACACATCCCTGCCAATCTCCGGCAGACCCTCCCTCCCAGACCCTGCCACCTCCTGCACAGCATCCATGTTGAAGCTGCCTTTGGCAAGTTCGCGAACGGTTCGCGACATCACTATTCGGCATGTGCCAACCTTTAACTTTAATAACACTCACTGTTGGAGTATAAAGTCCACAGCTTTATTAATTAATATAAATATATAAATTAACAATTTAGGGTCATTGTCAACAGTACCGCTCTCTCCTGTATCATACCCCAACAATGACCCTACCAAAGAACAAACATTAACATAACCAATAATACATAACATGTAACTCACAGCCTACCAAGAGACCCCACCTCCATTTGTTTAACTGAAGGGCAGTACCCAGACACCTCTACACCCCTTGGTTCGTAGCCACCGATGGGCTCGAACCTACCTCCACACTTTTAACTCCGGCCTACTCCAGCCTAGACATTGGCCTACCAATTTCCTAACCCACCAAACTTCCTGTTTAACCAAGACCTTTTCTACCACAGCACTTGCCTTGACCCCTTAAGGACATGTGCGACCCCCACCACACAAAAACAGGGCTTGCGCTATACCTTCCTGCAAACCCAAGTTGAAAAGGTCACAACCTACATCCGACAGGTGCACCCCACCTGCTCGAAAGTACCCGGGTAACTTTTCCTCCAATTCCCAATGGCGCACCACTACCCTTCCTAACCTACGAACAAACACCGCCATGGTCTTGTTCACCTACCCCGACATCGAGCAACTGCCGCTGTCCATCTCCGACCATACCACTTTTACGCCAGGGATCAGCCCCCGCAGTCGATCCACATCCTGCTTCATTTGTTTAACCAGTTCACGTTGGGGGACCAAACCTAAGTCGTTTCCCCCCCGATGAACTCCTACCACATTTGGTAAAGCCTCCTTCGCAACCTTTTGAAACATCGCTATACTAATGTGCTGCCAATCAAACCCCCGATAACCAAACCAGGATAACGCCACCCGTTCCACAGGAAAGCCCAGCTGTGTTCTGTTTCTTCGAACTGCGGCCCTCTTCTGTGCCCAATAGATGTACAAATGGCCAATTATCCACACCGTCCAACCTAAAAGAAAACACAACAATGATAAAGTAGCATATACTCCCCCAAACCCTCCCCATATTGTCCACCTCCTCACACCAGTCATCCGGCCGCACATACGAGCGGAACCTTGGAGATTCCCATCTCTGATCCATCTCCTAAGCCCAAGCGCACTGCTTCAGTCACTGCACCTATACGGAATGAATGAGTTCCGAACTGCATAGGCTCCAGTCCTAACTTCTGTAAGCCCAAACGGAAAACCCGCACAAATTGGAAGCGCAATAGCGCTGTGCCGTCTGCATGTATAAAGAAACATCCTTTCACTTCCAGTCGGTTTTCCAAAAACCCAGCCCCACTCGCCACTGGACACAACCCAGACCCCGGTAATTCAAACAACGTGACCATGGAACCTTTCCCGAAGACATCCGTCTTCGAGCGAACCAGTCTTATCTTTACCCTGTCCCCACCAACCGTCATGTCTTCTAACATGAGCCCGCCAACCTCTTTCTTGTTGGCACTAACCAATTCTCCTATCCGAAACGCCCTAAAAAAGGCCCATGAAATGCTACCGTAAACAACACCACTTCAAACGCGGAAAAACATATCTCAGGTAGCTTGCCTATCAACCCTTGCAATACCGTGAACGAAACTGGTCTTCTCGAATTTCCTGTTTTCTTACCCTTCTTGAATCCCCGTACCTCTTGCCTCACTATAAAATGCTTTGTCATCCCAGACATTGAACTTGAATAGGAATGCTAACGCTGACAAGTGCCTAATCACCATCGACGGTGATGATTGCTTCGCGAACAAGCGGCATACGATCCATAACAGCACGTCCAGCCGATTGTTCACAGAGCCCTCCACCCTTAACTGCTGCATTGTTTCTTCTCAAACCTTCCAAACCTTAACCCAGGTGCCAAAGACTTCTTTATGTACTCCCAAAGCAGGATGTCCCGAGCTGCCACATCTCTGTTGGACAAGCTTGTCCCGTTTCCTTCACTTCCGGCGCCGCCTCCCGAAAATGCACCCACTGTAAGCGAGACAGCGCATCAGCGACTACATTGGTTAGCCCCGGAATATGTCAAGCTCGAAACACAATATTAAATGACATGCATAAGAGTACTAATTGTCTTAGTAACCGTACCACCGGCCACGAAGCAGATAACCCGTTGATAACCTGCCATGTTATCCGAATTGAACACCACTCTCTTATTGGCTAGCTCTGAACCCCATAATGCTACCGCTACAACCACCGGTAAAAATTCCAAAAACGCCATGTTCCTAATCAATGTGCTCGTTTTCCATGCCTCCGGCCACCTCTCCGCACACCATTGTCCCTCTAGGTACGCCCCAAACCCAATGCTACCCGATGCGTCTGTAAACAAGCCCACGTCTTCGGATGACCCCAATGGTTCATGAAAAAAACTCTCCTGTTAAACTCCTGCAAAAACCTCGCCCATACCCCCAAGTCTTCTTTCATGTCTACCGACACTCTGATATAATGCAAAAAATTTTTCACCCCGCTCGTCACCCGCGCCAATTGCCTGCCAATTCCCGTGGGAATTACCCGACATGCAAAATTCAGGCTCCATATTAATGACTGAAACTCACGCAAGGTTACCTTCCTTGCCTTCCTAACCGTGTCCACCAGTTGCCTAAGGGCGTGCAGCTTGTCCCCAGGCAACTTGCATTCCCTTCATACTGAGTCGATCTCCAACTCCAGAAAGCTAAGGCACGTAGTGGGCCCCACCGTTTTGTCCTCTGCTAACGGCACCCCGAACGTATGCGCCACCCACTGAAAGACCTGCAATATTTGGCTACAGCGCTCCGTTCCTGGCAGGCCGACGCATAAAAAATCATCAATGTAGTGCATCACTGCACCCCCAGCCGATTTCCGCCGTACCACCCACTCCAAAAATGTGCTAAACCTCTCGAACTAAGCACATGAGATGGCGCATCCCATAGGTAGGCACAAGTCCATGAAATACCCCCCTTCGAAATAACACCCCAGTAGGTGATGACAATCCGGGTGTATGGGAAGCAGCCTGAACGCCGCTTCCACTTTCGCCATCAGTGCCCCATGCCCCGCTATCCTTACCAACTCGACAGCCTTGTCAAATGATGTGTAGGAAACAGAACACAGGGCCTCGTCGATATCATAATTTACCGATGCCCCCTTTGGGTACGATAAATGATGTATCATACGGAATTTACCAACCTCCTTCTTCCACCCCAAGTGGAGACACTCGCAAACCTACTAATGGCGGGGAAGCCACCTCCTCACACCAGTCTAGTCCCCCGTAGGTCCGATAGGCGTCCCCTATCCCGTCTAGATAACAAAAGAGCTGTGAACAGCGATCTAGGCACTTTTCCCCAATTACGCTCGCTAAGATACAAAAGGCCCTCAACCAGTTCCCAAAAGTCTTGGGTGTCTTCCGATACCTCTGCCTTTTTTCCTCTTTCTCTTTCTTTGCATCCTTCTTATCCTCCTCTTTCAAGTCTAAAAACTCTTCCAGGGGAAGCAGTGAAAATATTTCCACAAAGTCCCCTTTCCATAGTTTATCCTTAACCTCCGCCTTTAAGTGACATCCCAGCGGTTCCGCAAAAGACACGTGCACGTTTTGCCGCGCTGCATCGGATACTTCCCCGCTGTTTGAGCAAATTGAGAAAGCTGCAAATCTGGGTAACACTTTAATTATTGGAGATTTTAATTACCCGGATATAAATTGGGACAGAGGGACTAGTGCCTCAGCAAAGGGAATTAGGTTTTTAAACTTGTTAAATGACACCTTCATGTCACAACTTGTGCAAGCACCAACTAGAATGGATGCTTGTCTGGACCTGGTTTTAACAAACAACGTTGATCTTTTGACCAACATTCAAGTAGGTGAGCACTTGGGAAATAGTGATCACAATATAGTGTCCTTTGAAATAAACTCAAAAAAACAAAAGCACATGGGGAATACTAAAACATATAATTTTAAAAAGGCCAATTTCAATAAGTTAAGGGAAGCTTTACAATATATTGACTGGCATAAAATCTTTAGTGAAAAGAACACTGAGGATAAATGGATCATCTTCCAACAAATATTACAAATGTACATTTCTCAGTATGTACCGTTGGGAAATAAATATAAAAGAAACAAATTAAAACCAATGTGGCTTAGTAGAGAAGTAAAACAAGAGATTACAACTAAGAGAAGGGCATTTAAAGCATTTAAATCGGACAAATCAGATGCATCTTATAAAAGATATAAGGATGCAAATAATGCGTGCAAAAAGGCAATTAGACTTGCTAAACTTCAAAATGAAATAATGATAGCTGAAGAGAGCAAAACCAACCCCAAAGCATTTTTTTTTTTTATCAATTCTTTATTTTTGCATTGACAGACATTAAAAGTGAGAGCATTTTTGGCTTACGCAGAAGCCCATCTTTCAAATGTGCTTTAGTCATGTTACAGAAAGAAAATCTGGGTTGTTAACATACATAATATACGTTTTAGACATGTTGCATGTGGGTTGCGCAAAGTCTGTTGTCATTTAGCTTTCGCCTGTCAAAGGTTTTTATTTATTTGTTGAATGCACAAAAAAAACATATGCACAAAAAAAACATATACACAAGAAAAACGATCAAGAGAAAGTAGGCATTAAATCCTAGAACTGCACGAGTGAGTAGCTGTCTGTGAGTGGGTGCTCATTTGTCTTATGATTTTTCATCATATTGCTCCCAAAGGGCCCATACCTTTTGAAATGTGGTGGTAGTGTTCCGTTAAGTAATTATCTCTGATTTTGGAAATTACTAGAGATATTGGGGGTGTCTCTGGTTTTATCCAGTATTGTGCCAGTGCTCTGCAAGCTGCTAGATTGAGCATATTCAAAAGTTTTTGGTCGTGTTTGTCTAGTCCATTTGTCGGTCGTGATAATAGGCATGCCCAGGGGTCCAGTGTTATTTGTCGGTGTAGGATTTTAGTGTGCATGGCCACTATTTTTTCCCAAAACTCTTTTACTTTGGTGCACTGCCACCACATGTGGATGTATGTGCCTTTTTCTCCACATAGTCGCCAACAGGTATCAGTGGGGCAGAGTTGCATGTGCTGTTGCTTGACTGGTGTTGTATACCACCGGAGCATTATTTTATATGATTGTTCCTGTAGGGTCGTGCATATAGACACTTTTGTGTTCACCTCCCATATGTCTTGCCACTCCGTCCCCTCTAGCGTTTCACTCAGATCCGCTTCCCATTTGTCTGTGTATGTCTGTGGACCCCACGTGCCTGATTCTAAGCATATGTGGTTGTAGAGCAGGGAGATTAGTTTCGCTGGCATGCTTTCTTTTAGGCAGATTTGCTCAAAAAAGGTAAGAGGCTTGGCATTTGCCATTTTGACCTCATTGGTTTGCGCAAAGTCCCGTAATTGTATATATCGGAAGAAGTCGCGGGTTTGTAATGGGGCTAAGGTTTGTAAGTGTTGGTATGTTACTAGTTGGTTATCTACGTATAGGTGGATATAGCGTTGTAGGTTCGTGGCTTCGATGCCTTTAAAATCTCGTGCCCTTAGGCCCGGTGGGAATGCTCTGTTACGTAGTACTGGGGTCATTGGGGACGGGAGGTTTGTGAGTTTGAATTTCTGAGCGATTTGGTCCCATAAGCTAATGGAGTTTAGGATGGCCGGGCAGTCCGTCCGTAAGATTGTTCTGTGATGTCTCGGTGTCCATATGAGGAATTGCGGGAGGTCTGCTCCTGTCATGAGGGATTCTATGTCAACCCAACGGCGTTGATTTTTGGGGCAGTGCCAGTGAGCTATTTGGGCTACTTGGGCTGCGGTATAGTAATGGTGGAGGTGGGGCATACCCAGGCCTCCTCTCCCCCTGGGGTTATACAGTATTTTTTTGGCTATTCTTGGCCGCTTTCTCTGCCAGATAAAGGCGTCTATTGCCTGTTGTAGGCCAGCTAGGTCACTCTTGGTCACTCGAGTCGGGAGTGCTTGGAATAGGGATAGCAGTCTTGGTAAAAGGTTCATTTTTATGGAGTGTAGGCGACCTATCCACGTGATGGGTTTGTCTGTCCAAGTTTCCAAGTCCGTCTTGAGTTTCGTGATCAGTGGAGTGTAATTATGTTTAAATAGTGTGCTGTGATCCGCTGTGAGTCTGACGCCTAGATACGTGAGTGTGTCTGTGTTGGTTTTGATATGGTAGGTGTGTCTGATGTGTTGTGCCTTCCGGTCAGATATATGGAACGTCAGTGCCGTCGATTTAGTGAGGTTGACTTTGTATCCTGATACGTCTCCATATGTCTGCAGTAGCTTTTCTAGATTTGCCATTGATTGGGTTGGGTCTGTGAGTGTTAGGAGTATATCATCTGCATATGCAGCTACTTTAAAGTGTTCATCTCCTAAGTGCACTCCTTTTATGTTTGGGTTAGCTCGGATGAGGTGTAGAAGTGGTTCTAGAACTAAAGCAAATAGGAGTGGTGACAGGGGGCAGCCCTGTCTTGTTCCATTGCTCACTTGGAATGGGGATTTTGGTGCTCCTGTAATTATGGTTTGTGCTTGCAGGTTCGTGTATAGGGCCTTTATTGCCTTGATATAGGGTTCTGGGAAGCCTTGAGTTTGAAGTACTGTGAACAGAAAAGGCCATTGTACCCTATCGAAGGCCTTTTCCGCGTCAAGGGAGAGGACGAGGGCAGGTAGTTGAAAGTGTGTGATATGTGCCATATAGGTTAGGAAGTCGGCTATGCGGGCGAGATGTTGGGTCTGGGCATCGCCCTCCAGGGGTGAGAGGTTATATAGTTGCTGAAAGTATTCTGTAAAGGTGTCATTGATATCTTTTGGGGTGTTAACTAGTTTGTTGGCTTTGTTACGGAGCGTTGTGATGGGTTTATATCCCTGTCTCTGTCTGAGTGTACGCGCTAGTAGTGTGTCCATTTTATTGGCTTTTTCATAGAACTTGCGCCGTGACCATAGTATAGAACGTGTTATTTCTGCTGTCATGTGCTCCCTGATTGCGTGTCGAATGCCTTGGAGTTTGTCGTATGTGGTGGGGGAGGGGTTTTGTTTATGTTGTTGTTCGTGCTTCCGCATGGCGGTTTGTAATTCTAGTAGGTGTTTTGTTTGTGTTCGTTTTTTATGAGTGGCTGCCTGTATGAGATGTCCCCTCAATACGGTTTTGTGTGCCGCCCAGAGTGTTGTTGGGTTAATGTCTTCCGTGTCGTTGGTACTAAAATAGTCCGTGATTTTTTGTCGCGTTGTGTTGAGTATTGCTTCGTCGGTGAGTAAGGTTGTGTTGAGTCTCCATGTCCAGTTGTTGTGGTGTTGGAGGTTCCCCAGCGTAATCGCTACATCAGCGTGGTCTGACCACGTGATGTTGTTTATTTCTGAGTGAATGAGTTTGGCCATACCAGCTCCATTGAGGAGGATATTGTCTATTCTGGAGTATGTGTTGTGTGGTGCCGAGTAGTATGTATAGTCTCTTGTGTCTGGGTGTTGGAGTCTCCAGGCATCCATGAGTCCGGTGTTTTGGAGGAAGGAGTGCAGGAGTTTATCTTGTCCCCCCCTACCTTGAGATCTTTGTGTCCCTGGTTTGGAACTGCGGTCGATTGCTGGGCAGGGGACAGCGTTGAGGTCACCTCCCACTACTAGAATGCCCCCTTGCAGGGTGGCGAGCAGGGATGTTATGGTGTCCCAATAAGCCCGGTCTGGGTTGTTGGGTGCGTATAAGTTTACGATATGCAGTTTAGTGTTATAGTGGGTGCCACTTACGGCTACGTATCTGCCTTCTGGGTCTATCTGTTTATGTGTCACTATAAATGGGCAGCGTTTGTGTAGGAGTATAGCTACTCCTGCTTGTTTACGTGGTGCCCTGGCCTCGTATGTTGTGGTGTAGAGACGGTCCCCTAGTTTGATCGATGTGGCTTTAGGAATGTGCGTCTCCTGTATAAGTGCTATATCGGCCCGTTTTGCTTTTAGATCTCGCAATAATAGTCTGCGTTTGGTAGGAGTGTTTAGTCCTTTCGTGTTTATGGATAGTATTTTCAACGTCATGGTTGGGTCTGTCTTATGGGATGCTTGTGTATGTGTGGGGCGGAAGGGTCCATACCTGTCGGGAGTCTGTTGGTCTCCCCCCTTTCTGTTGCTGTCGTCCGATGGTCCCTTTGGGGTATCAGGCTTATCATTTCACTCGTGCATAGTGAACCAAAAACCATAAACATGAACAAAAATATAACATAATTATTAACCATATAAAAAGGTTTATAGAAGCATATATAGCGATGTACTTTCAGTCTGGTCTTACAATTTGCCAGAATGGAATGGGGATATACCTCGCCCCCACAGGTCAGAAGTCTGTCCTATTCCGGGGTGGGAGGCTCACCAATCCACTGTGCCTCTGTGCGAGGCGTCAGATGCAGCCTGTCATCTTTTTGGGTGCCTATCTCATCCTTTATATCTCGGGGGATTATTATTTATTTTTTTATTTTTATTTTTTTCTTGAAATGTCTCAGGTTAAGGGAAATATCTGGTTGCGTTAAGTTGCAGCAGAGCATAAGGGTGACCATAAACATGAGTGTGAGCGTGGCATGTTTCAGCTGTTGTGGCTGCAGTCTGGGTCTCGATGCTCGTGGCTGGTGCTGGATTGTGAGTGGATTGTGCGCAGCTCTGGAACTATGCGGCCATCTCGGTCGGCATCCAGACCACGCCCCCCCAAAGCATTTTTTAAGTACATAAATTCTAAAAAAACCCAAAATGAAAGTGTAGGTACACTAAAAACTGAAACGGGGGTGTTAATTAATGAAGACCAGGAAAAGGCAGGAATTTTAAATAACTATTTCTCCTCCGTATATATTAAGGAAGAACCCATGGCAATAGATGTGCAAATGATTGCTACTAAAAACTTGCAGAATAATTGTAATTGGTTAACTCAAGACAAGGTGCTGCAGCAACTAAAGAAAGTTAATATAAACAAAGCTCCAGGGCCTGACGGTATCCATCCACGTGTACTTAAGGAACTAAGTGTAGAAATAAGTGAACCTCTGTTTTTAATCTTTCAAGATTCTTTTCTTTCAGGAAGTGTTCCGGAGGATTGGAGGAAGGCAGATGTGGTTCCTATATTCAAAAAGGGTTCAAAATCCTTGCCTGGAAATTATAGACCTGTGAGCTTAACTTCTGTGGCTGGTAAAATATTTGAAAGGTTATTAAGGGATAATATTCAAGAATTCCTTGAGAAGAACATGGTTATCAGTAAAAATCAGCACGGTTTTATGAAGCACAGGTCATGTCAAACTAACTTGATTGCGTTCTACGAAGAAGTAAGTAGAAGTATAGATCAGGGTGTTGCTGTGGATGTGATCTATTTGGATTTTGCCAAGGCATTTGATACAGTTCCACACAATAGATTAGTGTTCAAACTCAAGGAAATCGGTCTAGATGAAAATACTTGTTCTTGGGTAGAACATTGGCTTAAAAACAGAGTACAAAGAGTTGTCATTAATGGTAGATTTTCAAGCTGGACAGAGGTGGCAAGTGGTGTCCCTCAGGGGTCTGTTCTGGGACCCCTTTTATTTAACATGTTTATAAATGATCTTGAAGACCGCATTGAAAGTCATGTTTCAGTGTTTGCAGATGACACCAAACTTTGTAAAACAATACAATGTGAGCAAGATATTACTTTGCTGCAGAGGGACTTAGATAGACTGGGGACTGGGCACTCAAATGGCAGATGAAATTTAATGTTGAAAAATGCAAAGTTATGCACTTCGGCGTAAAGAATACACAAGCAACGTATACCCTTAATGGAAGCGAATTAGGGATAACAACACACGAAAAGGACTTGGAAATTGTTATAGACAACAAACTATGCAACAATGTGCAATGTCAATCAGCAGTGGCCAAGGCCAGTAAGGCATTGTCATGCATGAAAAAGGGCATTCATTCTCGGGACAAGAATATAATTTTGCCTCTTTATAAGTCACTGGTAAGACCCCATATTGAATATGCTGTGCAATTTTGGGCACCTGTTCTAAAGAAGGATATTATGGCACTAGAAAAAGTGCAGAGGCGGGCTACAAAATTAATAAAAGGAATGGAACATATCTGCTATGAAGAAAGGTTAACACATTTAAACCTATTTAGTTTAGAAAAACGTCGCCTGAGAGGGCATATGATAACATTATACAAATATATTCGTGGCCAATACAAACCATTGTGTGGAAATCTATTCACAAACCGGACTTTACATAGGACACGAGGCCATGAGTTTAGACTGGAAGAAAGAAGATTTCGCCTAAGGCAAAGGAAAGGTTTTTTTACTGTAAGAACAATCAGAATGTGGAATTCTCTGCCTGAGGAAGTGGTTTTATCAGAGTCCATACAGATGTTCAAACGGCTACTAGATGCATACTTGCAAGAACAAAATATTCAAGGATATAATCTTTCAATGTAGGGTAATAACTGCTTGATCCAAGGATAAATCTGACTGCCATTCTGGGGTCAAGAAGTAATTTTTTTCCTAGCTTGTTGCAAAATTGTGCTTCAAACTGGGTTTTTTTGCCTTCTTTTGGATCAACAGCAAAAAACAAATGTGAGGTAGGCTGAACTTGATGGACGCAAGTCTCTTTTCAGCTATGTAACTATGTAACTATGATCTACATGCTCACCTGCGCCTTCCGTTGCTCCTAGACACGTTTCTGCGGCACCCTCACCCACCATGGTCGCTGCCACCACTGCGGGCCTAAACCCCGACCGCCTTCCGCAGCCCATACTCTCTTGAACTGTGGTGGCAACCCCCCGTCCCCTGACCATGATTCTAATAGCGATCTTAAACACCCTAGTAGACTCCCCGAGTGTGGTGCAGTTGGTGACTCACCACTTAGGCCCCCAGCCGCTGCTGGCCGTGGGGGCGCCATCATTTCTTCCGCCTCGAACAGCTCAGAAGTAACCAGGGGACGCCGACTCCTGCCCGTCTGTTCATGTTTTGATTGCGTGGGTGTCCTTCTCATCGACCTGCAAGGAGAATACAGCCTAGGTGGTCTGTTCGACTGGCCTCACCCGCTCTTCATCCCTGCGCTCTGACCTGTTATACCAACTCCCGCACCCATGCATTGTTCGTTCATCCCGCTCGCTTCCTCTCCTCCTCTGAGCAGCAAAGCTCCTCTCTGACGACCCTGACACACTGCGCCAGCGCCTCAGCCACCTGTCCTTGGAATTGGACCTTCTCCTACTGCTCCGGCTCCCCGCTGGGCTCCTGTCCCCGTACCTCCCATTGCCTTCAGATTCCTTCCTGCTGCCTTCCCAGTTCGCCCCTCCATGCTGTGTTCCCCTGTCTTCTCTTCTGCTGGCGCTCCTCTTATCCCGTTGCTCCTGGGAGCGACCCCTGACGGCCTCCTGCTCACCACTGTCCCGAAAGCCTCCTTCCTCCCGGCCAGTTACCTGCCGCCCGGTGCTTGCTGTTCCCATCTTCCTCCTTGCCTTTGCTCCCGATTTCCTGCCTTCACTCCGCTCCCGACTGCCACTCCTCCCTTCTCTCATGTCCGCAGCAAACCTGGCGCTGTCCCCTTCTCTCATTCCTCCTATGACCCTGGCCATACTCCTCTGTTCCCTCTCATGTTCAGCACCTTCTGTCCTGTGTCTAATGCCAGCTGCCTCCTGCTGTGCCCTGCTGTCCCGGTCCCCTTCCCTGTCCTGTGAGACCACAGTCTTGCTGCTGCCTGCACTTCTATCTCCCCCATACCCCTCAGTGCTGCCCCCAGGGGGCGACTCACCTTGCTGCTGCTCCTTCTTTAATCAGGCACCGGTTGTCTTAGTCGCCTGCCCGCCCGCCACCATCCGGCAGGGGGCGCTCTTCGAGAGAGGCCTCCTCCTGGCCTGCGACCTCAGTGCCCTGGCGCTGCTCTTGACAGGCCGCCCCAGATTACGACCTGTTCCGGCCGCCATCTCCCACATCTGTGCACTGCCTCCCACCGAACTCCTCCTCCGTCGTGCTGCTGGGCCTGCTCCAGGACTGAGCCGCTGGGGTGGCTTTACTCTTCTCTCCGGCCTCCAGTCCGGCACCGCATGAGAGGGACAAACGTGCTCGGGACCCCCAGCTGCTCCTGCAGCCACGCCATACCCTTCTCCTTCACCACCAACCGCACACCCGACAAGATCTCCTCCTGGGAAGCCATGCTGCATCTGAAAAAGAAGAAAAGAAGAGCCCTGCCGACCTGCACAATTTACAGGTAAGAAAGGCTCAAGTTAAAATGGCTATACCCTAAAATGGCCGCAATTTAACTTCCCCTCTACCCCCCTCCCCCTGCATTACCATAGGTCAGCCCCTTGACCTAAACTTCACCTGCCTACTCCTGGCTCTGTCAAGGCCCACTCCTTCCTGCGTTGCTCCGTGGTTTCATTTCCGTCTGTCTGCTGTTCAGTTGTTTGAAGGTGCAAAAATACCTCTTAACTTGGCTGATCCATGTACATTCACAAACAGCCAAATATTAGTTGAACTTCAACTAAATATCCTTCATTCTGTTGATCCAATTCTTCTGAAAACTGGATTGAATCAAATAAATGGAGATGGAAATGAATCAACCAAATAAAGATGTTAATGAGTGCTTCTGTTCCTTAATGCTGGGGTAAAGGAAGAATGTTAGGGACATTAAGAGCAGGCTTTAGCCTAAGCAATCACAGCAACCACCATAGGATTCCTGATAATCTGTTATGTTGTGGGAGAGAGAAGCATGGTGAAGGCTGAAGGAGCAGGTAGTGGTGGAATTTTGCATGGGCTAGTAATCTAAAGGTGTAATTCCAAGCACCATGACCACTTCAGTGATTTGAAGTGGTTACAGTGTTTGGAGCCTCTATATGTATGTGTTCTGTACAGAGTTTAACCCCTGTGTTGCTGGTAATTATACCTCTTTCAGTGCCATTGGGGCATTATTAGCCAAACCCAACTAATGTCAATTCTGTGCATAGCTAGCATCTGTCATCAGCATGCACAGCATTGTGCAGACAGTCAGCCAATAGTGGCACAGGCATCCCCCATACCCTATCCCATCCTTTCCCTCCCTAACATTCCTCCAGCGAGGATGACTGACGTCAGCAGCCTAGGGTCCTATGATGTCTTAATCAGGCTATGGATGAGATTGGTTGAAGAGTGAGACCTCACTTGGAGTATTGTACGCAGTACTGGAGACCGTACCTCCAGAAGGATATTGATACTTTAGAGAAAGTTCAGAGAAGGGCTACTAAGCTGGTTCATGGATTGCAAGATAAAACTTACAAGGAAAGTGTGGCGAAACCGACCTTGCCACGTGTCCTTGGAGGGGGCTGCTTGCCCGCCTCTTACATTTAGACTATGGCCCCTGTTCTTTTTCCCTGGTTTGTGCCTTTCTGCGGACTGTTAAAGCCATGCTACCCCAGATAGCTATGCCATGGAGCCCAGCTGTATACTGAAAGACTGTATGAAAGACTTTGGCTCCATGGCGATTGAACTGTATGTATGTGATCTGAGCGCCATCCGGTAATAACGTGCGCTCAGATCTAAGCTATCTGGGGATAGGTAGAATGTCTGTATTTTATGTATAAATGTAACCTTGTGTATTTTATTGTATTTTACTGTCTTTTGTCTGCCATGTGTGCAATGGAGTTTGCCTCTGTCCTTGGAGATAATTGGATTACTTCTCCAATTATCTCCAGGCCAGGGAGGAGGGATTGTGATGCATTGTGGGTTGTAACTGTTATTTGATTGGCTATTTTATACCTCCCTGTGGGCGGTCCTGTATGTGCAAGACTGTAATAAAAACCAGGCTGGGTGTGCCAGCAGTGTTGTTCCTGTTTTAACCCTCAAAGTGAAGTGTCGTCTCATTATTGGGGGAAGGATTTATTGTATGCTGTTCCAGTTTGACTGCTAGGAGAGTAAACCTATTCGTATTGTTCCTATTCAACTGTCTACAGCATTCACATGCTTGGGAGAATTTATTTGTTTCTCCGGTTCGGTGATTGTGGTGTCTGCCAGAGTGCTTGGAGTCCTCAGGAAGCGCTAGGAGCATCCTTCAACGGAGGTACCCAGTCGGGGTGCCAGGCGATCCATTACAGAAAGGTTAAAGGAACTTAACATGCATAGCTTGGAGGAAAGACGAGACGGGGGGATATGATAGAAACATTTAAATACTTAAAAGGGAATCAACACAGTAAAGGAGGAGACTATATTTAAAAGAAGAGAAACTACCACAACAAGAGGAGGACATAGTCTTAAATTAGAGGGGCAAAGGTTTAAAAATAATATGAGGAAGTGTTACTTTACTGAGAGGGTAGTGGATGAATGGAATAGCCTTCCAGCTGAAGTGGTAGAGGTTAACACAGTAAAGGAGTTTAAGCATCCGTGGGATAGGCATAAGGCTATCCTAACTATAAGATAAGGTCAGGGACTAATGAAAGTATTAAGAAAATTGGGCAGACTAGATGAGCCGAATGATTCTTAACTGCCGTCACATTTCTATGTTTCTATGTTTCTATGAGACAATTTGTAAATAATATTTTATCATTGTGAAAAAATGTATACATCACATTTTTGCATGAAGAAAAAAAGTTTTTATTTTTAATCACGTGTTCAACTTTAAAAGTTTAAATTTAATGTTGTGAAAATTGAACTTGAATTACATACAGGATGCTCCTGCAAGGTCTAGCAGGCTATAAACAGATCAGGAGATATGAAATTCTAAATTAAACAGAATTTGCAATAAAGGAAGTTTAAACATTAGATGACTCTTTAGAGGAATTGCTTAGCAAGGCTTTGCAGGGAGGGCTGCATAAACAAAGGGATTTATCTCCTAAATGGTAGCGAATTGAGCAGTAAGACCGCAAGGCATGATCTATACAGCAAAACTGCTTAATTAAGCTAAAGTTGTTTTGGTGACTATAGTGCCCCTTTAAGGTCTTTGGCACTTATGTACATACCGCGGTCAGAGGGGTCGCATCACTCCAGGGCGCCCGGCCGCCCTGCGGGTCCCTGCGACCAGGTACTCGCCGCCATGTTTTGCGGCACCGGCCTGCGCGGCAAACCGCCGGGGCCTAACAGCATGGGCCACCCGATGGATATGGATTTTCAGCTGGCCTGGTCATCGCTGCAGTGCTTTAACAGCGCGACGGACCCCCTATGATGACTTTAGACAGAGCTGGGAGGAAGTGACTGCGTTGGTCACTCTTCCCAGCAACCAGAGAGGCACGCGGGAGGAAGGAGAGGAGGGAGTATGGTTCCCTTTCATGTGGGAACTCTGACTCCCATCGGGCTGAGCCCCCACTGAACCCCCCTTCTGCAAAAGGTAGGAAACAGGAGGGTGACTTAAACATTTTGTATATGTGTGTGTTTGTATGTGTGTGTGTGTGTCTGTGTGCATGTGTGTGTCTCAGTATGTATGTGTCTGTGTGTGTGTTTGTCTGTATGTGTTTCTGTATGTGTGTGTGTTTGTATGTGTCTCTGTATGTATGTGTCTGTGTGTGTGTGTGTGTGTGTGTGTCTGTCTGTCTGTATGTATGTGTGTCTGTATGTGTGTGTGTGTCTGTATGTATGTGTCTGTGTTTATGTGTCTGTCTGTGTGTGTGTGTTTGTATGTATGTGTCTGTGTGTATGTCTGATGGGGGTGTCTGTCTGTATTTATGTGTGTGTCTGTCTGTGTGTATGTGTGTGTCTGTATGTATGTATGTGTGTCTGTATGTATGTGTCTGTGTGTCTGTTGGGGGGTTTATGTGTGTGTGTGTCTGTCTATGTATCTGTTTGTATGTATGTATGTGTGTGTCTGTCTGTCTGTGTGTTAGTGTCTCTGTATGTGTGTATGTGTGCGTGTGTCTGTATGTATGTCTGTGTCTGTGTGTATGGGCGTCCGCAGGGGAGGGTTTTTCAGCTAGTGACGATATTTTTCTTTTGAGATTCAGAATTTAAATATTATTTATATAATTATAGACAAAATGCCACCACAATTCAAATCAAAACACCACAAACCTCACTTTGATTATTCCCATAAATACACACTTACCATAAACAAACTTGGCAAATTGAGGTACATTACAAGGCCTTAGAGTGGCCGGACTTAACGTTAGACAGAGAAAAACGTAGTCGAAATACGAGCCGAGGTCAGTGTAACGGAGAGACAGTGAAAATGAGAACTAGCCAGAGTCAGGTACACGGTAATAATCAGAAGGGCAAACAAGACAGGCAAGGGTTAAAGAGAAACTCAGAGTCAGGAAACAAAGCCAAGGTCAATACCAGAATACAATACTAATTGCAGCACTAAAGGGTGCTGTGAACAGAAACCATAATAGGGCACAGAATCTAGGGCCAGATAAGTTTAACCCCTTAAGGACAGGGGACGTGCTATACCGTCCTTAGGGACCTGGCTCTAAATGCTGGGGGGGTTCCATAGCACGTCCCCATCGTCCCATGTACGTACCAGATCGACGGTGTTCCCACGCCGGTGATCGCGGGAAGGGGACTTACCTGGGAGCCCAGGGAGTCCCCATCAATCCTCTTCGGCCCCCTGGACCATGTGGTCGCGAGGTTCTTGCAAGGAATGACAGGTACTCCCCCTGCTGCCTGAAAAAAAAAATTAAACAGTTTAAAACAGTGTAAAATTAAATAATATATACTTAGATCATATATATACTTATTATATATATGATCTAAGTATATATATATATATATATATATATATATATATACACATATACATAAATATGCAGGTAACTTGTTTTTCTTTGGTTTTTACTATATATTGGGGCTGATGTGTACTGTAGTCATTGCTGCCGCCCAGTGAGCGCAGGACTTATCTTTCTACATAAATACACATGCACTGTCTACGTGTATTTTAATATTAATATATATAATTATTAATTAATTATTAATTAATTAAGTACACGTAGAATGATATTGATTAAATATATATATATATAATTATCATTTTATATATATTTATATATAATATAAAATAAATAAATATGTAAATACATTAAAAAAATAAAAAAATATATATGTGTAATTTCGGTCTAACTGTATTTTAAAATTAATATATATATATTGATATCAAAATACACGTAGAACGAAATAATATATATATCTATATGCATAAATATATATTTGTGTTCGGGGCAAATAGCCGTATATGGAATAAGGTTCCAGCATAAGCGTAGGATAGTATAAAGGGAGCAAGTCGGTTGTGGTGTGCCGAGACCGACGATACGGTAGGCCTGTAAATAAAGAGGGCCCACCAAGGAGTAAGTAAAGTAAATGGAAAGAAAAGAGAAAGTGTTGAAATGAGGAGTGGGTGGGAGGGTCATTCTGATGCTGACCTCAAGCGATATGAGTCAGGTAAGGGGTGTCCCTTATATAGGGGAGTGAATTAATTTAAGCCCCTCCCACAAATACAGGCCAAATGGCCTTAAAACTTGTGTTCGGGGCAAATAGCCGTATATGGAATAAGGTTCCAGCATAAGCGTAGGATAGTATAAAGGGAGCAAGTCGGTTGTGGTGTGCCGAGACCGACGATACGGTAGGCCTGTAAATAAAGAGGGCAAAAAGAATAATCAAAGATTTAATACAGTCAACAATATATACAAATTAACCAGACATTTCCTTAAATGCATTACGGTATTTAATTCCTTGAAGGATTTTTGAAGGTAGGAATCTAGGACCGCAACTGGACACCATTTGTTGTGTGTAGGATAGTATGTTATCTCTACTGTTGGTGCGTGTTGACTCGTTTCGGAATGTGGTAGAGCCAATAGGTAATGATATATGTGTTTACATACGTGGGATCGTTGAAGACAATGATCTGTCTGAGTGGTGGTTATGGTAGTGGATTCTCTGGCCTGAGAAAGGCATAAAAGGCAGTGTGCATGGCTGGTAATGTCCAACTTGGTAGTATAATTGAATGGTTGTAGCTCTAATAGGTCCGATAAGGATGGAAAAGTTGGATGGCTATTGGTAATATCTGAGAGGAACATGGGGGGATGGATTCCTGAAAACCTCTGAGTATATTCTTGTCTGGTATGATAGCATGAAGTTATGGTAGTTTGGCCATAGGTTATCCTGTGTTGTTGAATGCCTGTAAAATATATAATTAATGGTGTGTGAGATGGTTTTAGTTTAAGGTGGCAAAAAATGAAGCAAAACCTAGGAGAAATGTTATGACACAGGTTGAGCTATGTCGTGTTCCAATGAGATTCTTTAAAGCCAGGTGAATAGGTGTTATGCGTTCTACAAGTATGGGATGAAAGTGTTAGGTGGGATAGTGCATGCTATGCTGCATGAGTATGTCTAATCCATGATTTTGTCTCTGGAACGAAAGAGTGGCCGTGACTGTATGGGCGGCTGTAGGAAGCGTATAATGAACGTGCCTGGAATATAAATGAGACAATTGTCGGCAAGGATGTATACCCCCGCCTGGTACATGAAAGTAAAAGAAATGTGGTAAGTGGCCAACCAAGTGAGTTCCCCAGCAATACCATGATCGTATGGATGATGAGTGGCATTTGTTAATGATATGACATGTGCTTAGTTGTCTGAGTAACAATGGATTGATGACCCTGACCATGATTTACCCCATGCCACAGCAGCTGCTTTTAGCGGGGAAAGGATTGCCCATTTTATGCCATGTAAGTGCCAGTTTGTAGGGTAGATGGTAGCCGTTTACTGTGTTGATGATATTGGTCTTACTTAACGAAGCTTCAACCCATGCTTGAGTGATAGCTGTAAAGGTAGATCAATGGTGTGTATAGTAAGGAAACTCCTCGGAGGATATGAGGGAGTTGAGACTTGGGGTAGCGAAGGTGTGTGGTCCCAATAAGTCTATGGTTAGTCTTTGTTTAAGGGAAGATTCCCTTGTGACAATACCAATGCGTTTGTGTTTGGTGCCATGCTGTAAATGGTGGAGATTGGAAAACCCAAGTAAAAACCCCTCTGCAAATCTTGGCTATGAGTGTGTTTACAGCCGACGGTTCTGTTGTGCTGACTAAGTGAGGGCATGCTATATTCCTTGAGAGTTTATTTATGATACCTGTATGGGAGCCC